AATGGTTATTGCATAATAAACATAATGCTTTGCAGTGAATTTGATAAAATAATCCACATCTAACTGTATCTTAAAGATGGACTATTTTAAGTCTAGTTTTTTCTTTTTTTTGTTTTGCTTGATAGGTATATGTTGGTAATAAAAATAATAAAATGTCACAGTATGGTGATATGCATGGCACTTGAAATGGTGTCAAGTAAAAATGTGTTCTGGTGATTTGTAGTATGTAGCAGCAATCTGAAGTGGTAAAATGACACATATGGTCTCAATTATGAATACTCTATTGTTCTGTCAATGCAGCCATAGACAATAGGTAAATAAGTATGGCTGTATTCGAAAAATATTTTATTTATGGACACTGAAATTTGAATCACATATAATTTTATGTGTCATAAAATGTTACTATTCTTTTGTTTTTTTTCCAGCCACATAAAATGTAAAAGCTGTAATTAGCTGTAGACTGTACAAAAGCAGGAGGTAGGGGTGCCTGGGTGGCTCAGATGGTTAAGCGGCTGCCTTCAGCTCAGGTCATGATCCCAGGGTCCTGGGATCGAGTCCCACATCGGGCTCCTGGCTCAGCAAGGAGCCTGCTTCTCCCTCTCCCTCTGCCTCTCTCCCTGCTCATGCTCTCTCTCTCTGTATCTCTGTGCTTCAGATGAATAAATAAAATCTTAAAAAAAAAAAAAAAAGCAGGAGGTAGAGTGGATTCAGCTTATAGGGCATAGTTTGCCAACCCCTTGTAGAGAATATCTACATAAAGTAGACTTTTGAGTTTATTATTTTATTTGAAGGGATGAAAAGGAATTTGTGATTTTCTTCATAACATTTTCTTTTTTCTAGCTTTCTTTTTTCTTTTTTTAAATTTTGAGTAGGCTCCATGCCCAACTGGGGTTTGAACTCACAACTCCGACATTAAGAGTCACATGCTCTACTGACTGAGCCAACCAGGCACCAGTTGGAAATTTGTGTTTCAGTTTAAAGAGATTGTTATTCATATTCCTTCTGTATTATAGACTTTGTGTTGTGGTTAAATATGAAAATCTTAGTGATTTCAAAATTTTAAAAGTACAATTTTAGAAAAGAAAAAGCTAACATTTGCATTCCTCAGCTTATCAATATACTTTATATATTTCTGCTTGATATTATCCTTTCAACTGGAAAGGAAGAAAAGGTAAAAAAATTTTTAAAGGGTATGAGATGGCCAAAAATAAATCACAGGGAGATTTTTTTTTTTTAAGATTTTATTTATTTGACAGAGAGAGACACAGCGAGAGAGGGAACACAAGCAGGGGGAGTGGGAGAGGGAGAAGCAGGCTTCCATGGAACAGGGAGCCCAATGCGGGGCTTGATCCCAGCACCCTGGGATCATGACCCGAGCCAAAGGCAGACGCTTAGCAACTGAGCCACCCAGGTGCCCCAAGATGAGATTTCCTGTTTATATTCTTGCTAGGACCTGAACCCCTGCCCCACACAGGGCTTAAAATAATGTATGTCCTCCTTGTAACTGTCAAGGAGTTAATGATTTCTTTGGCGTCTTCCAGCACAATAGATAACATCTAAGGAGTGACTAGGCGAGGTCATCATGAATGTTTTCCAAGACTACTGACTCCAGGCACCTTGACACCAAGACCCCTGCCTCCAGGGCATAAGTGGCTTTTGGAGGACACCTGAGTACTTGCCCTTGTTTTGACCAGTTCCTAGATGCTGACAGGACATGTACCACTGACCACTATCCTCAGTAAAAACCCAGACTCCAAACAAAGAGGAGACTCATTCTCCTTTTCCTTTCTGAGTCTCCCAGATGCTCCATCTGTATCTGCTCTCTCTGTATCTTCAATAAACTCTGCTCTCACTTCCTCTCAGCTCATGTTTGATTTCTTTCCTACACGAAGCCAAGGATCCTGTTGGCTGGTCCTGTGGGACCCTCTCTGGGTCCTCAGACCCAGCCAGTCTGCATCATTAAGAGCTTTGCCGTTTTAAAACTTTAAAACTTCAAAGTTATTATTACATTTACTTTTTTAAAATATAAGCTCTCATCCTAATCAGAAAACCTCTCTTGTTTTATCCAGATATATTGCACTATCCACAAACATTGTTCTAGTTTCCCGTCTCTGTGTTATCTAAACTTGTATATAATGCTCTCCTGAGCATTAAGGTTAAAGGTTACCATCCACTATTACAACAGTCTCCTTCCTGCCACTGTTCTACTATTCAATTCATCCTTGTTATATGAGCAGTTTAACCTTCTAAAACACAAGTTTCATTTTGTCAATCCCTCACTCAAAAACAGCAAATGCAAATTAGTGGAATGAATGGTGAGAGGTAGGGTGAGGCCAGATAGATTATGCTGGCCCTCGAAAGTTGAATTACAAGAGTAAAGTATTTGAGGAAGGGATTAACATGATAAAAGGTGTTTTACTTAGATCTTGCCTGTAGCAGTGGGCAGACGCCTTAGAGATGCAGGTTATGAGTCAGGCTATCAGCTGTTGCAGAGATCAGGTACACTGTGCTGATAGGAAGGAAAGTGTTATGGATCCTAGGTCTGACCAAAACAAAACAAAAAACAAAAAATGCTATCTTGTTGAGAGGTTCATAGTGTTGGTTAGTAGAATCCTTTGATTTGAGCTTGCAAGGTTTAACATATATACAAGATGAGACAATTTAGTTACAGTGTAGCAATTTGATTTTAGATGTACAAGCTGTATCTGAAGCACAAGAGTTTCTGAGGTGTGATTTTAAAGGTTGCTGGTTCACTTAGGATGTGGGACCGTGCCCAGGAACATCTGGCCACTCTTTTATGGATCCAGGATTATACTTAGTTGACTCCATAAAAGGAATACTTTCCTCTGGATTCTAGGTCAGATGAACCAGACAGGATTCTGGTTCTGCTATTGCTATAAACTTGCAGGAACCTGTGCTCCTCTGGTGCCCTCTGAGCTTCCAGGATCCCTCTCCCAGGTCATTATCCTGCAAAATTGGAGAGAACTGTAAATGCTTTCTCCCTCCCTGAGCTAGAGACTCTCCTCAATCCTCACCGGATATTCCAGGGAACAAAGCAGGAGGCAGTATTCAAACTTGTTTTGTTCTTACACCTATATAGTAAGATTGTGCTTTCTAAATAAGGGACCTCGGGGTGCCTGGGTGGCTCAGTTGGTTAAGTGACTGCCTTCGGCTTGGGTCATGGTTCCAGGGTCCTGGAATGGAGCACTGCATCGGGCTCCCTCCCTGGCGGGAAGCCTGCTTCTCCCTCTCCCATTCCCCCTGCTTGTGTTCCCTCTCTCGCTGCCTTTCTCTCGCTCGCTCGCTCTGTTAAATAAATGGATAAAATCTTTAAAATAAATAAATAAGGGGCCTCTTTGTTAGATGAGAAAGATTCCTAGTCTTAATTACCTCTTCAGAACTAGGAAATTTGTCTTCAGAATAAAACAGTGGGAAATAGAGTGAAAAAAAGTTAAGTTGTGCGAGTTAGAGGAAGACAAATGCCATATGATTTCACTCATGTGGAATTTAAGAAACAAAACAGATGAACATAGGGGAAGGGAAAAAAGAGAGGCAAATCATAAGAGACTTAACTATAGAGAACAAACTGAGGCTTGATGGAGGGGAGGTTAGCAGGGGAATGGGTTAAATAGGTGATGGATATTAAGGTGGGCACTTGTGATGAACACTGGGTGTTTTATGTAAGTGATGAATCACTAAATTCTACACCTGAAACTCAGTTTTTTAAAAGATTTATTTATTTACTAGAAGCGAGAGCAGGAGGGAGGAGCAGAGGGAAAGAGAGAGAATCTCCAGCAGACTCCCCACTGAGCATGGAGCCCAATGCGGGGCTGGATCCCAGGATTCCACAATCCCAAGATCATGACCTGAACCAAAATCAAGAGTCCCTCAAACGACTGAGCCACCCAGGCACCCCTACACCTGAAACTCATTTTACCATATATGTTAACTAATTGGAATTTAAATAAATATTTGAAATAAAAAAAGAGTTAAGGGGAGGTGTAGTCACAGAGATCAGAGGAGAACCCATAAAGGAGGAAAAGTTCACAGGATCAAGGGCCTGGAAATCTAAAAGTGTGAGTTAATGGACTTTCCCAAACCACGAATTGTCAGAGATTTTGTATATTGCTGTTTCAGAAAGAGGGGAGTTCAGAATAAAGATTGCAAGAGGGAACGGAGGCATGTGTAATAGAGATTGGAAGTTCCCTTTGTACATTCTGTCCTGCTATTAGGTTAGTCTCTCACTTCCCGTGAGAGCAGCTTCATTACCAACTGACCCCATTTGCAGCCTATGCTAATGTCTTTTCATCTACTTCTGAACTGTCTAGTCTACCCAACTTTTAAGCCCTAGCTCAGTTTCACTTCCTCCTTCAAGTCTTCTTTGAAAATTGTTTCCATTTCTTTCTCCATTCGCTGAGATCTTGTGTTAATAGTTACAATCATACTAGTTAGCAGGTAATAGTTATAGCAAAAGTGTGAGCCTACTCCCCTCGAGTTAGGCAGTGTAATTTTTGAGTTTGGAGACTATACTGTAAAATTCTTTTGTATATTCCTTGCAAAAATTCTAGGTTCATACTTATTAGGTATACCCTCAGGTCTAAAGTTCTGTTAAATATTCAAGAACCACTTAAAAATACTGTATAAAACCTTCTATCCGAGAATGCTTTAAATTTTCAAGTTGAAATGTATCCATTTTGACTATCTTAACAAGATTGCCCAAGTCATTCCTATAGCAGAGCAGAAAACTTTCAACTTCCTCATTATTGTCAAAAGGGACAGCCACGTTAGAGACTTGTAGCAGTGAGCGCTGAAATTCGATCTGTATTAAATAGCGACCTTATAATCATCTCAATGGTAAAAGTGTCAAATTTCACAGACACCTAGAAAAGGGAGCGAAAAGATCATCTAACAATAGTTTGCTTATCTGTCAGATCAGGGAGTTCACCAGGGTTTCTAAACACACTGCGGCTCAGATTCTAACCCGAGTTTTACGTCATTAGACGCAGGCAGCCAATTGGGCCGTCCGGTTGCCGTGCATCCTGGGAGCTGTAGTTTCCGGCTCCCTCCTCCTGGCTCCAAACTCCACCGAGCAGCTGGAGGACGGTTGCTTGGTATTATTAGCAAGCGAGAAGTATGGCGGTGGCGCGCGTCGACCCGGCTTTGCCTCCTGGAGAAGGTAAGGCGACCCCCCCCTTGAATCCCAAAGTTTACTCCATGGAACTAAATTAAATAGTTACCTGGTGGAGAAAAGAAGTCTGGGTTTAGGGGTGCAGTTCTGTACCAGTTCTTTTGATGCGGGCTGTGGGCGTCGCGGAGCCGCGCTGCCCTCTGGGAATTGTAGTTCCCGGGTGCTGTCTAGCTCTGCGGCCTTACGGAGAGGGCCGAGCTGGGGACTACATCCCCAGGGTCCTTCGCGCGGCCGGGCGCCTTGGCTCCCGCGCTTCTGAGGCTGCCTGGGTGGTGGGTTTCGGACTGCGGTGGCCTTTCTTGGATTTTTAGTTTGAATTCTGGATGCCCAAGTGAAAATTGCCGGATCTCCATCTTTCGCTTTACGCGTCTCCCTTATCCTCTCGGTTCCTATCACGTTCAGGAAACCCTCTCTCAAACATACCTCCTAGACTGACGTTAAACCCTTTTTTGGATGTGTTCGGTGGCCGTGGTAAAATTCAGGGTGACCGAGAGTCCACAGATATCCACCCCTTGTTCTGCAGACCAGGTTTTGGGATCGGGTTTGGTCGCTACCCAGCGGAGCGCGGGGTGTGGGTGCTTCTGTGGCCGGGAGTCGCCGGGCGTGAGCCGAGCTCCTGTGTTTTGGTTACAGCTCCGAGGCTCCGCAGCAGCCTTCTGGGTCGGGGCCCGGGCTGAGGGTTGAGGCCTCTCTCCACAGCTTAGACCAGGGGGGTCATTATCTGGGGGCCCTGACTTCTTGGTGGGGGTGAGGGGGATCGATGGTTCTAAGAGGTGTGTCGACCCCGTGGAACTGTGTGCAAAGACTACATTTTCCTTGGACAGTACACAGCTTTCACCAAATTCTCAGGGAATCCCCATGATCACCCCCAAATTCTGGCATCCATTAGACAATGAAAAGACGTTGAAACCTTTCAGGAGAGCAATCTCGCATAATTATTTCCCACAGTAATCTTAATCTGGGTATACATTTGAAATTGGCAGTTTCTGTGGCCCCACCCCTTTTTGATATCGGCTTCTCTTAAACTCCACCTCCTCAGCCCACCAAGGGAACTTACTGACAATAATAGCAGTAAACATTTACAGAGCACTTTTTATATGAGCCAGACGTTGTTCTGAGTGCTTTTTTTTTCTTACATGATCTCATTTTCTCTGTAGAACAACATTATAAGGCAGATATTATTATCACCCTCATCTTGTAGAGTGGAAAATGAGCCCCAAAGAGATCTATTACTTGCCCAAGATACCACAGTGGTTATTGGCGGAGCCAGGATTTGAACGTCTGTGAAACTAGATTATTGAGTGCGGTATGCCAGGAGTGGGGCTAAGTTTTGTTCATATGGTTTCTGTTTTCATCCTCACCTCAATTTAATTAATTAGGTGTATTGTTCCCATTTTGTAGATAAATTAACTGAACTATACATTGATTTTAAAAATAATTTGGGCACTTTAGGATATACTGGTAGTTAGGTTGTAAGCAGGTTGATCTCTATCAAAAGATTAGTTCCGTTTAAAAAAAGACAATCATTACTTAGCCACAAAATATGGAATAGTTCTTATTTATTTACTTATTTGTTTATTGAGAGAGCGCGCTTGCGCTGTCTATGGGAGGGGGTTGAGGGGAGGGTCAGAGAGAGAATCTTTTTTAAAAAAAATATTTTATTTATTTATTTGACAGAAAGAGAGAGCAAGAGAGGGAACACAAGCAGGGGGAGTGGGAGAGGGAGAAGCAGGCTTCCCGCTGAGCAGGGAGCCCGCATTGGGTTCCATCCCAGGACTCTGGGATCATGACCTGAGCTGAAAGCAGACACTTAACGACTGAGCCACCCAGGTGCCCCAAGAGAGAGAATCTTAAGGGTGGAGCTGACGGGGGGCTCCATCCCTGGACCCTGAAATTATGACCTGAGCCAAAATCAAGAGTTGATGCTTTAACCGACCTCCAGTAGTTCATATTTAAATGTGAAGAATTCCAAAGTATTATTGTGAGCAGAATATCACAAATTTCTAGGTGTAATATGATATTTCGGAGGGAAAGTGAACAGTTTCAATCTGTGGTCATTTAGAACTTGATTGCCTTAATTTTTAAATCTTGATATTTATTATGTTCTAGTGTTTTCTAACTCTAAATATAGAGATTTTATGAATATAATTCCATGCTCAGCTTTGTATTTGTGTTTTCTAACAATTTCTCTTCTATCTTCAAGGATCAGTGGTCAACTGGTCAGGACAGGGGCTACAGAAATTAAGTCCAGACTTACCCTGTGAAGCTGATATTCATACTTTGATTCTGGATAAAAATCAGATTATTAAATTGGAAAATCTTGAGAAATGCCGACAATTAATACAAGTAGGTATTGCCATCTGGGGGAAATAGTTATATATGTTTATTATTTTACAAAATAATAAAATAACCTAACAAAGAGTAACTCTGCAGGCCTAGAAAGCAGTAAATCTTATCTTAAATTTTTACATGACAATTTACCTTGAAGGTGAACACATGTGCTACATTTAAAATTGACTAGCAAAAGAAGCATTTGTTAAAAAAACAAAACATTTTGTGTTGGCAAAGCGTTGTGTTGTTAAGATAACCTTTTACATCATGATGAAGGTAAAGAGTTCATTCATTCATTCTGTTAGCAAATACTTATTGGGCTCCTCTTATGTATCTGGCACTCCTCTCAAGTAGTTGCTCTGTTAAAAATGTTTTCTCTTGAACAGTTGGAGAGGGTCTGATTGCTCAGCTTTACGTATATTTTCCATTGCTTAGGAACAACCTAGAACAACAGCAACAACAAATAGTTACACTATAGAGTATTTAGATAAAATATGTGAGAAGTTCAAATTGGGTTTGTATATTTGGGAATGTTTGGCCATATAAACAAATCTTTTTAACCACCCTCATGTGAAAGTAATATGCATATTTTATTTCTAAGAGAATGATATGTTTTCTTTCCACAGTTGTCAGTGGCTAATAATCGGCTGGTGCGAATGATGGGTGTGGCCAAACTGACCCAACTCCGGGTGTTGAATTTGCCTCATAACAGCATTGGCTATGTGGAAGGGCTGAAGGATCTAGTACATTTGGAATGGCTGAATTTGGCAGGAAATAATCTCAAGGTGAATTGTTTCTTTTTTTTAGTAGTTGCGTTTTCTTTTTTTAATTTATAAAAGTATTCACTGTAAAAAAAAACTCAAGCAGTATAGAAATAAATAGAATAAAAAGTGAAAGTATCTACTCCCACTTCCCAGGGATAATTTTAGTTAACATAAACTGAAAAAAAAATTTATTTTGACACACATATGCAGTATAATATTCCTGCTTCCATCACTTAGTAGCTCTGTATTGTTGTGTAATAAATATCTCCATGTCTTATTTTTTGATATGTTAGATGAGTGGACTCAAATGATATTAATAGCTCACTTATTTTTTTTTTTAAAGACTTTATGTATTTGAGAGAGAGAGAATGAGAGAGAGAGAGAGAGCATGAGGGGGGGAGGGTCAGAGGGAGAAGCAGACTCCTTGCTGAGCAAGGAGCCTGATGCGGGACTCGATCCCGGGACTCCAGGATCATGACCTGAGCCGAAGGCAGTCGCTTAACCAGCTGAGCCACCCAGGCACCCAATAGCTCACTTATTGATCAGTTAATTTATGCTAGGTACTATTGTATTCACCTTAACTGTATTAACTCATTCAGTATCATGACAGCCTATGAAGTAGGTAAAAAATCATTATGTCTATTACATAAATGAGAAGCTGAAGTACAGAGAAGTAAAGTAACTTGCTTAAGGTCACATAGCCAGGAGTAGCAGAGCCAGGATTTGAATCCATGCAGTTTGACTTCACTCTTAACTTGTAAACTCTATACTATACCAACTGTCATGTGTTATCACTAAGGTTTTTTCAAGCTATAAATATCTGGGATGATATGATCCTCTCCTCTCGGGATAATGAAGGTAGAATCTTGCTATATAACAATTTACCAAATTCTGTTATTACTACTTCCTCTTTCTCTTGATAAATTCTCCTCTGCTTCCAATAATAAGCAGAGGAGGCAGGAGACTCAGCTATGAGGAACTAGGGAAGAATTTCATTTTTTGATTTTGTGTACATGAACTAGTGTGATGCTTTTCTTGTGATAGGTCATGGAACAAATCAGTAGCTGTGCAGCTCTACAGCACCTTGATTTATCAGACAATAACATACCCCAGATAGGTGATCTATCTAAATTGGTATCACTGAAGGTAAGTGTGTCATTTCTGACATTTTCTTGTCATTTCTGAAATTTTTATGTCATTTCTGAAATGTTATACTAATTTTATACTAATATACCAAAAGAAAGTGATCTGATTGGCCTAAAATCAGCCTATTCTGTATGGAGAACAGATTGTGTACATTATGATAAAATTTCTGTTAGAGCACCAGAAATTAAGTATGCAACTCTTTGTTTTTAGTTTCTATAATTGATTTATTTTAACTAGAACTGGTCATTGTAGTTAAGGTTAATTCTTATTTGTCATCTATGAGCATAATGAAATCCCCTTTATGCCCAATCAGCCAACACTAGCAGCTTTAGCTATATAATATGTAACATGTTGGTAAAGTTGAGAGTGATCATTCCTGAATTTGAGTTTGTTTTTTTGACACTTGGGATTGCTGTTTTTTGAGTAAAACGTATTACTAAATTTTCAAAAGGAACTTTAATTTAAAAAGTAAACCTGTAGCGTATAGCACTTTTTATGGAGGGGAATTTATCATGCAATCAGGTAAGTAACAGTTGCAATTACAGCTTCAAAAACATGTAGGCTTTTTCCACATTTTTGCATCATTGGATATCATTAGTATCATATAACTCATTAAGCCTTAGAAGCAGTATTATTAGATCAACTTTCCCCACATCTTTAGCATAAATCATTTTTAGCAATAATTACTCTAAACAATCTGATGTGTCCAGATACTAAGAATTCTGATGAACTACGGATTTTTTTTTTTCTGGAATGATTATTTTATCAGAATCCTGGGTATTAAAAGCCTTCAGTTATTCTTCATTGTTGTTGACTTAATTTGAGTCAACCTCATCTGCAAGTAGCATATTGTTCCTTCCTTAAGCTTTTAGTTTTCAAGAGAATACAGTTGTAAATTATAGGTTGTGGGTTACCTCTTTCTCTTTTGGAAAATTTGCTTTATATGTGATTTATTTTATTTTATTTATTTATTTGACAGAGAGAGAGAGAGCACAAGCAGGGGGAGCAGCAGGCAGAGGGAGAGGGAGAAGCAGGCTCCCCGCTGAGCAGGGAGCTTGATGCGGGGCTTGGTCCCAGGACCCTGGAATCAAGACCTGAGCCAAAGGCAGATGCTTAACCAACTGAGCCACCTAGGCGCCCCTATATGTGATTGTTTTAATGAATGTTTTCTTTTACTTTCCTCACCCATTATTTTGAGTGCTTCCTTTTTTTTTTTTTTTAAGAGAGAGAGCATGTGAGGAGGGTGGTAGAGGGAGAGGGAGAGAGAGACTCTTAAGCAGGCTCCACGCCCAGTGCAGAGCCCATCACAGGGCTTGATCTCATGACCCTGAGATCATGACCTGAGCCGAAATCAAGAGTCAGACACTTAACCAATTGAGCTACCCAGTTGCCCCTTGATTTTTTTTTTTAAGATTTTATTTTTTTTTAATTTTATTTTTTTAAAGATTTTATTTATTTATTTGAGAGAGAGCGAATGAGAGACAGAGAGCACAAGAGGGAAGAGGGTCAGAGGGAGAAGCAGACCCCCTGCTGATCAGGGAGCCCGATGCGGGACTCGATCCCGGGACTCCAGGATCATGACCTGAGCCGAAGGCAGTCGCTTAACCAACTGAGCCACCCAGGCACCCTAAGGGCACCCTAAGATTTTATTTTTAAGAAATCTCCACCCAGGGCGCCTGGGTGGCTCAGTTGGTTAAGCGACTGCCTTCGGCTCAGGTCATGATCCTGGAGTCCCGGGATTGAGTCCCGCATCGGGCTCCCTGATCAGCAGGGGGTCTGCTTCTCCCTCTGACCCTCTTCCCTCTCGTGCTCTCTCTCAAATAAATAAATAAAATCTTTAAAAAAAAAAAAAAAAGAAATCTCCACCCAACATGGGGCTAGAATTCATAACCCTGAGATCAAGAGTCACATGCTGTACTGACTGAGCCAGCCAAGCACCCCTATTTTGATGTTTTAAAAGGAAATGAACAATATGTTGGAAATTGCTCAAGTTTTAATAATTTAAATCTCAAAAAATGCTATTTATTACACTAAGCTGTATGTTCTTGGACAAATCTTTAAACTTTCTTGAGCTTAGAATGTGGACATGAAAAGAGAGAGTTGGACCAGAAGACCACCTAGGACCCTTGTAGCATTAATAGTCTGCTTTGTAAGTGATGAAAAGTATAATAAAATAGATCCTTTTATTTTTATATGCACCATTTTAGTTATGTCAAAAGTAGATAAATTGTAATCTTTTCATTTGTAATTCATCCTGTTTTTACTTTCAAGACCCTGCTTTTACATGGAAACATCATCACCTCTCTTAGAATGGCACCTGCTTATCTACCCAGAAGTCTTGCTATACTTTCCTTGGCAGAAAATGAAATTCGGGACTTAAATGAGGTAAAATTGGAGGGTATTCTGTGGGATCCAGGAAGCTGCAAAGTACCGAAGAGACTCAGGAGAAAGTTGTGAGCTCACTTGTTAACTGTGAGCATCTTGGAAGATACTGCCAAAAAGATGAAACACTTGACTCAAGATGATCATTATTTTTCTTTCTACTTTTTCTTAATGTCAGTGGGTCATTAAGGCTTAATTTCATTTGTAATGCTGCCACTGTTATTCCATTTGGAACTGATTTGTGGTAGAGGTATATCTACGTTAAAGGGATCAATAAGGACACTACACCTTTCTCTGGCTGCTATTATGTTTTCAAAATAGGATTTTCTCTGTTAGGAAACAGTGCTGATACTTTGTAAGGTATTGTGCAGCAAGGACAGATGGCCATATTGATGGAATTTTGGAAGTCAGTGGATAATGTAAGAGTGTTACTTGTTGCTTTTCAGAACAAGAGGGAAATTGTTACATTCTCAAATTGACAAAGATGTGTACTCAAAGGAAGCCCTGTGCTTAATACTAAATAGTCCATTTCATTCAACAAAGATATCCTTTGTTCCAGATCTCTTTTTTGGCATCCTTAACTGAACTGGAACAGTTATCGATCATGAACAATCCTTGTGTGATGGCAACACCGTCCATTCCAGGGTTTGACTATCGGCCATACATTGTCAGCTGGTGCTTAAACCTCAGAGTCCTAGATGGATACGTGATTTCTCAGAAGGAAAGGTGAATATGACCTTTTTTTTAAGATTTTATTTATTTGAGAGAAAGAATGAGAGAGAGAGAGCACATGAGAGGGGGGAGGGTCAGAGGGAGAAGCAGACTCCCCGCTGAGCAGGGAGCCCGATGCGGAACTCGATCCTGGGACTCCAGGATCATGATCTGAGCCGAAGGCAGTCACCCAACCAACTGAGCCACCCAGGCGCCCTGAATATGACCTTTTTAATGTCACATTTATCATGGAAGTTACTGAAAAGACCATTTCTAACTTACTACAGATTACTAAACTGAATATTTCTTAAAATGTGCATTTAGGAATTAAGATCATTAATGCAGTCATATAGCAAACTAACTATATGCTGGTCATTTAGGATTTTCTGTCCTTTCTAAGAAAGGATAAGAAATAAATATCAGTCTGAGAGGTTGGGGCTAGTGAGTTTAACTTAACGCCCAACATACAACAATTTGATTACTGAAAGTTCTTTTGTTAATTGGTTGTTTGCAGGGCTTAGAGCATTTTCTATAGAAATCATATTATGGATGCTGTGTAGGGTCTCAGATCAATCCCACAAAAGCTTCTAATCCATCTTATATGTAAGGGCAGTATTAGTAATAGGACCCGGGGTGCCTCAATTGTTCAGTTGGTTAAGCATCTGACTCTTAGTTTTGGATCAGGTCATGATCTCACAGTGTGGGTTTAAGCCCTGTGTTGGGCTCCATGCTGAGCCTGGAGTCTGCTTGAGATTCTCTCTTTCTCTTTCTGCCCTTGCCCCTGCTTGCACACATGCATGTGCATGCTCTCTCTCTCTCTCTCAAATAATAAGGAAAATATTTAGGGGTACCTGGGTGGCTCAGTCGGTTAAGCGTCCCATTCTTGGTTTTGGCTTAGGTCATGATCTCATGGGTTGTGGGATCAAGCCCCGTGTAGAGCACTGCACTCAGCGTGGAGCCTGCTTGAAAGATTCTCTCCCTCTGCCTCTCCCCCTGCTCACTATCTCTCTCTCTTTCAAATAAATAAATAAGTCTTTAAAAAAAATTAAAATCTTAAAATAGGACCTAATTATCCTTTATAACAATGATTCTGTGGGAAAATTCATGCAGAGTTTCAGTTTGGAACTGGTAGCAGACATACTGATTGTCCTTCTCTACTCATAACGTGTGAAGCAGCAGAAGTGGAAACTTTCCTATCTCTAAGCATTGATGGTTTCTGCACTTGGAGCTGGGACTCCTACATGACGGGGTCTTCTGGGCACTGGCACATGATCATTGGAATCAGAACTTTAGGGGAGATAAGAAACTAGGATGTGAACAAGAGGGGGTGGAGTTGGAGGGGATAGTATGAATTGAGATGAGTTTATTCTCTTCACTTTGCCTCATTTCACTTTCTCCTCTCAGTGTGTACATACATGCATTCATGGACTCAACAGGTACATTATTCCTCACCATTTTTGTCCACTTCTACTAGAGACTGGTATATCTCCTTGAGGAGTATCCTGGTGGAAGGATGAGTGGTAGATTACAGACAGGGTTTTCCTTTTCCTTCTTCCTGCTCTTTCATCTAGTTGCTGAATAAGATGTGAGGCAGTGAGGAATGATAGCCAGGACCTACATAGCGGTGATGCTGGTGGAGGGTGAGTGACATACATCAGGTCTAGTTTGCCTACAAAACAAAAAATTGTGGCTTTTCCTTTCTCTTGCAGTATGTGTTGCTACGTACTCAGAAACTGATTCTGTTTTCAACTATGGATAGTTTTAAAGCTTGAATATGGGTTTACCTTGATTATCTTCTCTGACTTTTCCTTTCCTTTTATTTTAAGATTTTATTTATTTGACAGAGACACAGCGAGAGAAGGAACACAAGCAGGAGGAGTGGGAAAGGGAGAAGCAGGCTTCCTGCTGAGCAGGAACTCGATGCGGGGCTCGATCCCAGGACCCTGGATCATGACCTGAGCCGAAGGCAGATGCTTAATGACTGAACCACCCAGGCGCCCCCGACTTTTCCTTTAAGAGAAAAAAAATACTTGTCAGATTTTTCTATATGAGTAGGATTGGCAATATTGTCATATATGGGAGGTAGCATGGTGAGATAGGCAGAGAGAAGGGTTTGGTGTAAAGAGAGACATGGGAAAAGGGACAAGAGAAGATTTCACATGTTTCCCTGCCACTCATTAGCTGTGTGGCCTGGGCAAGTTCCTTAGCTTCTCTGAGCTTTAGTTTTCTCATCTGTAAAATGTGGATGATACTACCTAGCTTTTAAGAATGAGGATTAAGGCTAATGCATACGGCATAATATTGGCCATATGGTAGGTGCTTAAAAAATGGTAATTGTCATTATTACTAAAAGATAGGGACTAGGAATCGAAGCATTTTGTAGAAACTAAAGCAAGTGTTAAAAAGCAGAAGATATTTGGGGTGCCTGGCTGGCTCAGTTGATAGAGCATGCAACTCTAGATCTCAGGGTCATGAGTTCAAGCTCCATGTTGGACACAGAGCTTACTTAAAAAAATAAAAAGCAGAAGATATCTGTTGAATAGATGAATAATAATGCGAAGGCTATGTTTCTGTACAGTGGAAATGGTTTTAATCCAAGTGACTTTAAGGTGAATTTGAATGTTTTTTAAACTTTCTCTAATTTAAGAGACTTCAGGAGGTAGGGAAGTGTGGGCTTTCACTTGGGGTGGTCTTTCTCTCTGTAGGGTCATCCTACACTAAATAAATATGGGGGGAAGGAAGGGTGGGAGTATAGCACAACAGCAACAGTTTCTTTTCCCCCCCAACATTTAAAAAAACTTGCAAGGTAGCATATAATTCAGATGTAGTTAAAAAAATAATATTTAGAAATACCTACATAGTCACCACTGAGAATAAGAAAAGAACATAACGAGCATTCCAGAGATTTCCTTTACTTTGCTCCCATCAGAACTCCCCTCCCCACCATATATAACCATTGTACTGCCTTTTTGATAATTCAGAAAGATTATTTTTTTCCTGGTACTATGAGGTTTTCAACCAACTTCCACCAGAGTAGCTAAAATTAAAAGGACAGACAATACTAAGTGTTGATGAGTATGTGGAGCAATTAGAACTCTCATACACTGTTCTAGGAGTGTAAGTGGTGCAATCACTTTGAAAAACTGGCATATTTAGTGAAGCTAACCATGCAAATACCCTATGACCCAGCAATTTGACTTCTGGTATATATCCTACAGAACTAGGTGCTTATGTCTACCAGAAGACATGTACAAGCATGTTCATAGTAGCCTTACTCATAACAGCTGCAAACATTTTGGAGCTATTTGGTACATTTGGGAAACAATCCAAATGTCAGTCCATAGAAGAATGAGTCAATAGTTACATGCAAACTAAGGAACCTAGATTGTTGTTGATGCCATAGTAGAGAAAAATGCTGCTGCAGTTGATGTCTGAGACAACTCTGTAGTCTACACAGTGGTTCTGTGTTTGAAAACAACTCTGGAAGTATTCTAAGGGAGAGCTCTTGTATTAAAATTCAATCCCTGAGCAGTGTTCAAAACATTTTCCTGGTCAACCTTGGGAATTGCCCTGAAGGACAGGAAGGAATTTCCAGTTTTTGTTTCTACCCAGCCTGTTATTTGCAGGGAACATCCAGATTAAACATTTTCTTTATTATGACTGAGCCAGCCAGGCACCATGGAAAGTATCCTGGGTGCTTTGATGACTTTAGGTAGCCAGATCTTGAGTGTGTGTGTCACTGGAAAGAGTAATTTGAGCTGTCACCCATCCCTGTGGTGCTGTGGCTGAGTGGTTTCTCAGAGGCACACCTATGGAAAGACCAGCACCTTTGTGCAGTACCTCAGTATTTGGAGTTCTTTCTGAATTTGTTTCCATTTCTGTTTGACTATTTATAGGACCTAGTCCCAAGCTACACTTCTGTTGTTTAGTTGAAGATTAGAATTTAGGGAGCAGAATTTTGGAGATGTTTCTTTTTTGAAAGGATTTTTAAAATACATACAGAAATAGAGAGAGTACCATAATGAACCCCTAAATACCCACCATGCCACTTCAACAGTTACCAACTTTGCCAGTCGTTTCACGTATCCCCACATTTTTGTTGGAGTATTATTTATTTATTTAAGATTTTATTTATTTGAGAGCACAAAGAGAGAGCATGAGCGGAGGAGAGGAGCAGAGGGAGAGGGAGAGGGAGAAGGAGGCTCCCTGCTGAGCAAGGAGCCTGACATGGGGCTCAATCCCAGGACACTGAGCCACCCAGGTGCCCTGTTGAAGTATTTTAAAAGCAGATACCAGATATCATTTCATCTAATACTCCTTTTTTTTTTAACGAGAAAGAGCAGATTATTTTATTCTATTTTTTAAACTCAAACTTTTTTTTATTTTTCTATTTTTATTTATTTAAAGATTTTATTTATTTGACAGAGAGAGGGAGAGAGGGAACAAGCAGGGGGAGCAGCAGGAAGAGGGAGAGGGAGAAGCAGGCTCTCTACCAAGCAGGGAGCCCAATGCGGGGCTTGATCCCAGGACCCTGGGATCATGACCTGAGCTGAAGGCAGATGCTTAACTGACTGAGCCACCCAGACACCCCTAAAACTCAAACTTTTTTTTAAAGATTTTATTTATTTTAGTGAGAGATAGAGAGTGTGGGCAGGGGGAGAGGCAGAAGGAGAGGGAGAGAGTCTCAAGTCGACTCCACGCTAAGCATGGAGCCCAATGCGGGACTTGATCTAATGACCCTGAGAGAGCATGACCTGAGCCAAAATCAAGAGTTGGATGCTTAACTGATTGAGCCACCCAAGTGCCCCAAGAGCAGATTGTTTTAAAATTTTCTCTCTTAATCGTTGTTACTTGTTATATTATGTAAATTGTTCCTTCAGTTTCAAGAGAAGAATCATATTCTAATGATTTGAAATTAATATGTTAGAGCTGAATGAATTTTAATTTTATTTTTCTTTGAATTGTCAGTGATGTTTTAATGGGTAAGGAGATTTTTTTACCTAGGAGAATATTTTATGGATTAATAAACTTGTGTAATGATATGTTTATTGATGAATGTGAAGCAGAAGCAGAGAAACATGTTACAGTAGTTGATGCTAGGCAGTTTGTGATTTTCCTCACACACTTAAAACTGTGGAATATTCAAGTCAGAGCTTAGTTTCTCTCCTCCTACTTTCACTTCTCTTTCCTTCCCAACTACAAACCATCTATAACTCGGAAATGTTGCTTGCTGGCTAATATTAAAGTTGGTGATTATCCTTTGGTATGGACCTCTTTTGGGAACAGCTTTTCAACACACCATTTGCTTGGCAGGAGAACTTATGGAAATTTAGAGCAGATTTCAAGAACATTCTGAATGGTTTTTTTTAATTTTTAGAGAGTGAGAAAGCGAGTGAGCACAGGTTGGGGGAGCTGTAGAGGGAGAAGGGAGAGAGAGAGAATCTTAAGCAGGCTCCATGCCCAGTGTGGAGCCCAACACAGGGCCTGATCCCACGACCCTGAGATCATGACCTGAGCTGAAATCAAGAGTCAGATGCTTAACTGAACTGAGCCACCCAGGCACCCTGATCTTTATTTAATACACAGACTCATTCTTGGAAGAAATACTTAAATTATTTTTATTAGGTAGAATAAAATTTTTTTTAAAGATTTTATTTATTTGTCAGAGAGAGAGTGCATAAGCAGGGGGAGCGGCAGGCAGTGAGAGAGGGAGAAGCGGACTCCCTGCTGAGCAGGGAGCCCGATGACGGGCTCCATCCCAGGACCCTGGGATCATGACCTGAGCTGAAGGCAGACACTTAACTGACTGAGTCACCCAGGCGTCCCTAGAATAAAATTTTTATCTTTAGACTAAGATTGGGATTCTGAGACTTCAGTTAATCAGTTAGGCATACCTTGTATCTCATTATTAGAAAACAGTTTTTCCTTTCTTGTGATACTGGCAAATCACAGAAAATTAATCTTATTTTATTTGCACCGTGACTCTTTTGCATGATTTAATGAGTTATCAAAGGGCCAGTTTTCTTTCAGTCTATAATAGAACTCGGGTGGCTTGACAATTTTGGACTGTAGTTTGTATGATGTGGATACCTTAATATCACGGTCCAAGTAAATGGTTGTGGATTGAAAGTGATTTTCGAACTATTTGCAAAATGATCCAACCTCAACTTCAAGTTGAGGGGTAGATTTAAGTATGGTGAAACTGAGGCAATGGCATGTTAATTTAAAAAAATCGAAACATATATGTAAAAGTAAACAGTAGTGTAATGACCTCCCATGAATCTATCATCCAACTGCAACAGTTTACAGCTCATGGCCAACCTAGTTGTCTGTGCCTTCATCCACTCTCTATTCTATATTATTTTCAAGCAAATCTCACAGTACATGTAATTTCAACTGTGAATATTTCAGCATATATCTCTAAAAGATAAAGGCTCTTTTTTTTTTTTTTTAAAGATTTTATTTATTTATTAGAGAGAGATAGCGAGAGTAGAAACACAAGCAGGGGGAGTGGGAGAGGGAGAAGCAGGCTTCCCGCCGAGCAGGGAGCCCGATGCGGGGCTCGATCCCAGGACTCTGGGATCATGACCTGAGCCAAAGGCAGACACTTAACGACTGAGCCACCCAGGCGCCCAAAGATAAAGGCTCTTAATGAAATAACTACAATACTATTATCATATCTCAAAAAATTTCACAATTCCTTAGTAACATCAGGTATTAGTTCAGTGCTTACATTTCTAATAGCCCTCATAAATGCAGTTTTTAAATGTTTTTTTTGGAAACAGGATCCAAATAAGACCTTCCACTGTGTTTGGTTGATACATCTTTTAAATTTCTTTCTTGCTTTTTTAGTGACTTACAACATTAATTTGTTATTATTGAATGCTCTATGGGCTGGCTATGCATATTGGGTGGTTCTCATGAGCTTGTGGTGAGATCACACAGAGCTTGGCTAGATGTCCAAGATGATGCTTTTAAATCTCTTTTAATTTATAGGTTTCTTCTCTTTTATTTTCTTTGCTTTCTTTTCTCTCTTTTTGGTTGTAGTTGAAAAAAATCAGATTATGTGGGGGTGCCTGGGTGGCTCAGTCGGTAAGCGTCTGCCTTCGGCTCAGGTCATGATCACAAGATCCTGGGATTGAGCCCCACGTTAGGCTCCCTGCTCTGTGGGAAGTCTGCTTCTCCCTCTCACATTCCCCCTGCTTGTGTTCCCTTTCTCGCTGTGTCTGTCTCTGTCAAATAAATAAATAAAATAAAATTAAAAAATCAGATTATGTGTCCTGTAGAGTTTCCCACTGTGCTTATTTTGCTGATTAAATTCCTGTGTCCTATCTTATATTTCCTGTGAATTGGTAGGAGGATGTGGAGGTTTCATCAGATTTAGGCTTGCTTTCTTATATTTCCTGTATATTGGTAAGAGGATGTAGAGGTTTCATCAGACTTAGGCTTTTTAGTGGAGTGGACTACTTTTTGGGTTCTGTCAAGCACACACACACAAGGAGACACATAGTGTTTGGTTGTCCTTCATGTTATTAGTAGCTATTAATGATCAATGCCTAAAACCATTAATTCATTTTCACTAAGAGCTTCAAAATGGTGAGATTTTAATTCATTCATTTTATTAGCTGGAATACTTCTATAAAGTAACTATTTGGCCCCTCATGTTTAGTTTGTATAGGAAAGACAGAATTAATAATATTGAATTCTTGCCCTTTATTTATCAGTTTTTAAAAATAATGAGTTGGTGGTTCACTAGCATCCTCCAGCTGTGACCAATTAGCTTTTTTTTAACTGTCATTATGAATTAATGGATTAAAATGTAACTGATGTATTTAGGTACTTTATTTTGATAGTGAATAGAGGAAATACTTATTGCTTCTTTGAAAATAATTTAAAGATATTTGGAACGATGAGTGCAACTCTGTGGAAGTACCCCTAAGCAAAAACAAAGGTTTAAAACATTAGAAGAGTAAAGGGAGTGAATCAGAAGGAAAGATTTTTTTTTTTAATATTTTATTTATTTATTTGACTGAGACACAGTGATAGAGGGAACACAAGCAGGGGGAGTGGGAGAGGGAGAAGCATGCTTCCCGCCGAGCAGGGAGCCCGATGTGGGGCTGGATCCCAGGACCCTGGGATCATGATCTGAACCAAAGGCAGACGCTTAACTGACTGAGCCACCCAGGCGCCCCTCTACTGAAGTTTTTATTTTTTTAAAAGATTTTATTTATTTATTTGACTGAGACACAGCGAGAGAGGGAACACAAGCAGGGAGAGTGGGAGAGGGAGAAGCAGGCTTCCCGCCGAGCAGGGAGCCCGATGTGGGGCTCGATCCCAGGACCCTGAGATCATAACCTGAGTCAAAGGCAGACACTTAACGACTGAACCACCCAGGTGCCCCCAGAAGGAAAGATTAAAAAAAAAAGAACTTATAACTGAATTTATGAAAATCATCCAGTGATGCTGTAAATTAAGGAAGATCATTGTTGCTTCAAAATGTATCTTGTCTATGCTGGTGTCATATCCTCTACTGTATGTTCCCTAATTCCAGTTTGAAAGCTGAATGGCTCTATAGTCAAGGCAAGGGGAGAGCATATCGGCCAGGCCAGCATATCCAGCTTGTGCAGTATCTGGCTACAGTCTGTCCTCTCACTTCCACACTGGGTCTTCAGACTGCAGAGGATGCCAAACTAGAGAAGATTCTGAGCAAACAGAGGTAAGCCCCTTTATTTGTAGCAGCTGATAATTCACAAGTGGAAATACCTGGGTCTTTCCTGCATGGGTCGTAGGACTGGGGCAAGTGCTGTGACCCATGTTTCTGGGCACTTGGGCCCCTTGTTACTGCAGCAGTCCTGCAGGGGAACTAAACCATGCAGTACTGTCAAGCTTGCTCTACAGCAGCTGCATTGTTCATCATTTCCTGAGTGGGGAGAGCCGAGCAGTATGGGGGACCGGGATTTAAAAAAAAAAAAAATTTATACTTTTAATGTAGGTGTTTCATATGGGTTCTTTAATACTAACATTAAAGAATGAAGCTAGAAGGATGTACTAGTCACTTCTTTTATCAGAGAGCCTGCCTTTGAGTGTTTGTGCATGTGTGTGCCTATAAGGGTGTCTGTGGGATTGTGATTTAAAAATAAGTTTTTTGTTTTTTTTTTTTAAGATTTTATTTATTTGCGAGAGAGAGAATGAGAGACAGAGAGCATGAGAGGGAGGAGGGTCAGAGGGAGAAGCAGACTCCCTGCTGAGCAGGGAGCCTGATGCGGGACTCAAGCCCGGGACTCCAGGATCGTGACCTGAGCCGAAGGCAGTCGCTTAACCAACTGAGCCACCCAGGCGCCCTAAAAATAAGTTTCTTTTATTTAAAGATTTTATTTATTTATTTGACAGAGAGAGAGAGAGAGAGAGAGAGAGAGAACACAAGCAGGGGGAGTGGGAGAAGCACGCTCTCCGCTGAGCAGGGAGCCCGATCCGGGGCTCGATCCCAGGACCCCGGGATCATGACCTGAGCCGAAGGCAGATGCTTAACGACTGAGCCACCCAGGCACCCCTTAAAAATAAGTTTCTTAACCTTTCAATCCAGTGCTTTCAAGATGAGCACTGATTGACTTTATAATTTGGTAGTGATGAAAGAGCTCTACTTTGAAAACTTGTAAATTTCTACCTTTTTGACAGTATTATGTAAGAAGCAGAAAACTTTCTTTTTGTGGTTTGTGTTAAATCCCATCAGATGTTATTGATTTTTAGGTTTCATCAGAGACAGTTGATGAACCAAAGCCAAAGTGAAGAGCTAGCTCCTCTTGCTCCTACTGAAACAAGAGCACCCCTTATACCTGAGCATTCAAGCCCTGTTCAAGATGGCCAGATAGTCCAGGAAAGCGGTATGAAATTAATTGATCTCTGATCCGTTTTCTCCCAAGTTGTTCCATCTGTTGGGTACCATAAAGGAGGAAAAAGTACATATTTTCATAATTTTTGGTTTGTTAAGTGAACATTTAGGTCTTATATTTTATATATGTATATATACAGACATAAATGTAAAATTACTGTATTTTAAAGTGTTAATTTTAATTTTAATTTATTTTTTTGGTGAGCAGCAAAGCAAGGTTTATTGAGTGATAGTGAAGTGATAGTATAAAGCTCCCGAGGAGGGAAGGCACCCAAGAGGGTTGCCCAGTGTTAATTTTTTTTTTTTTGATTCATTAAAATATTTATTGAGCAGCTAGGGAGATACAAAAGTGATTAAAACATCATAAAGAGGTGAGGCAAATGCACACATCATAGAAAGCCAAGTGTGAGGGGTCACTGAATCACAACAGTCAAAAGAAAAGTGGTTTAGGAGATCAAGAATGAGATTGCTTCCAGCCAGTGTTAATTTTTATTTATTATTTTTGTCACTGGTAATTTTTTAAAGTTTTTTATTTTAATTCTGGTATAGTTAATACACAATGTTATATTAGTTTTGGATATACAGTATAGTGATTAAACAATTCCATACATTAATCAGTGCTCATCTTGATAAGTGCCCTCCTTAATCTCATCACCTATTTCACCCATCCCTCCATCCACCTCTCCTCTGGTAACCATCAGTTTGTTCTCTATAGTTAAGAGTCTGTTTCTTGGTTTGTCTCTTTCTCTTTTTTCCTTTGCTCATCTGTTTTGTTTCTTAAATTCCACATATGAGTGGTATATGGTTCTTGTCTTTCTCTGAATGACTTATTTCACTTAGCGGTATACTCTCTAGATCCATCCATGTTGTTGCAAATGGCAAGATTTCATTCCTTATAATGGCTGAATATTAATCCATCGTGTGTGTGTGTGTGTGTGTGTATAAATATCTCACATCTTCTTTATCCATTTATCTATCGATGGACACCTGGGCTGCTTCCATAATTTGGCGATTGTAAATAATGCTGCAGTGAACAGAGGGGTGCATGTATCCCTTTGAATTAGTGTTTTTGTATTTTTGGGATAAATACCCAGTAGTGCGATAACTGGATCATCTGGTAATTCTATTTTTAACTTTTTGAGGAACCTCCATCCTGTTTTCCACAATGGCTGCACCAGTTTATGTTCCCACCAACAGTGCACAAAGGTTCCTTTTTCTCTACATCATTGCCATCAGTTGTTGTTTCTTGTGTTTTTGATTTTAGCCATTATGACAGTTGTGAGGTGATAATCTCATTGTAGTTTTGATTTGCATTTCCCTGATGATGAGTGATGTTGAGTATCTTTTCATGTGTCTGTTGGCCGTTTGTATATCTTTGGAGAAATGTCTGTTCATGTCTTCTAATTTTTGATTGGATTATTTATTTTTGGTGTGTTGAGTTGTATCAATTCTTTAAATATTTTGGATGCTAACCCTTTATCGGATATGTCATTTGCAAATATCTTCTCCTATTCCGTAGGTTGCCTTTCCATTTTGTTGATTGTTTCCTTCACTGTGCTTTATTTCTAATTTTTAAAATATATTCAGAGTTGCTACCTTTTGTATTGACCTGATCTTTGATTATGCTAATGATTAATATAAGAATTTATTTTCTTAAAAGTCTTTGGTGTGATGTTTTAGGCATATTGGAGGACATCACCAAAGCATTTTAGTGCATTTTACTATATTTCAGGGGTTAGATTTCATTACAAAGATACAACTAAAAACCTTTTTAAATATTTAGTGGTTTCAATGATACTTTGTTGATTCTTCTAGAACCCGTCATCCAAGTCAATTCTTGGGTTGGGATTAACAGTAATGGTGATCAATTATATGCTATTAAGAGTAACTTTCCAGCCTCTGTACACACTACAAGATATTCTCGAAATGACCTGCACTTGGAAGACATACAAACAGATGAGGACAAGTTAAACTGTAGTCTTCTCTCTTCAGAGTCTACTTTTATGCCAGTTACATCAGGACTCTCTCCAGTGTCACCTACAGTTGAGCTGAGGCTACAAGGCATTAACCTGGGCCTAGAAGATTATGGTCTTGCAGATGAATCTGTGAAAGGGCTGGAAAACCAGGACTTTAATAAGGAAGATGAAAAGGCTTTTTGGACTGCAAATGAGAATTCCGTTCAAATGAAGGAAAGTGTCATCAGTACAGAGGTAAATGAGAAAGATGGGCTATTACCTTGTCTGGAGCCAACAGTAACTAGTGCTGTCTTGAAGGATGACACCCATAGTCTTACATCTTTTCCTGAGTCAGTTGGACACAGTGTCTTCCATACACAGCCAGACAGTGAAGAAACCATGTCTCAGTCAGCTTCGGAGAAACTTCCCTGTGGGATTTTAACCCAGAGATCTGTTGCTCTGGGACAAGATAAAGTTGCCCTTCAGAAATTGAATGAAGCAGCCACCAAACTTCAGGCCTATTGGCGGGGCTTTTATGCCAGGAACTACAACCCCCAAGCTAAAGATGTGCGTCATGAAATTCGACTGCGCAGAATGCAGGAACACATTGTTTGCTTAACTGATGAAATAAGGAGGTAGGTAAAAAATCCTTGTTTAGGTGCTGTTTTGTTGATTTGGGAGTGTCAGAGTCTTCGAGTTGATTCAGAACACTGAACCATTGCTGTTATGGTCAGGACACTTCATATGCTGTTGCCACTCTCGGTTTCTTTGTCTCCTATAACATACTGAAAGCATCTTGAGGGCAGGAACTGCCATATGCATTTCCACCGCTAGCATGGCAATTGGTACATTGATGCAGTACAGCAGTAAATGGTGAATAATTGCTTGTCTTATAGATGTTTGTAAACTTAGACATAAAAAGGTACAGAAAATGTAGAAAAACTGAATAAGCATAGAAATGAGAAGATGAGAAAGTCTACATGGAACCCAGTAGGTAACAGAATTAAAGAAAGGAGTGGGGGCTTAAAAGGGGCTAAAATTCTGGGGCAATGGTAGGAATTATTCCTCACTTCTGTGGCTGACGTTTTACTGACTGCCAGCCAGGAAAATTAGGAGTTCATAAATTTATTTTGAGTATTAGTATTGCAACTAGCAACATTTATTAATATTATCAAGTGGAAGGGGAGGAGGCAGTAAAAGAGACTGGGAAGGGACAGCCAGTGTGATAGGAAGATGGGGTGTGTGTCTCAACTTCGATAAGGAAATGTCTTAGGAGAGAAGAGAGGTGACGTCGGGAGGACAGGATTATATGTTTAATTTAGAAGCTGGAGGTTATTGGTGACTATACTGGGGGATCCTGGGACTATTCTCAGATTTGATGATTTGCGAAACGGACTCACAAAACTCAGGGAAGCTATTCTGTTCATGATTATGGTGTATTCAAGTGAAAGGATACAGACTAAAGTCAGCAAAGAAAAAAGGTGCCTAGGGCAGAGTCCAGGAGAGCAGGCACGAACTTCTAGTTGTCTTCTTCCAGTGGAGTTGTATAGGTAGGGCTTGAATCTCTTGGCAGTAATGTGTGACAACACATATGAAGTATTGCCAACCAGGAAAGTTCACTGAAGCCCTGACTACAGGGTTTTTATTGGGTGTCAATCTTGTAGGCATTGAGTGCCTGTATGACTGACCTTAACTACTTAGACCTTAGCTCCTACCCAAGGTCAGACTGATACCGTGTCTGTATTAGGTGAACAAAACAAGTATTCACCTGAAAGCACATTGTTAGCATAAACTATCTGGTTTGGCCCCGAGCCCCATGTATACACAGATACTCTTACCAAGCAGGATAGTCCAAGGATTATGTCCTCATCAGTCAAAGCCAGTCCTTTCTTTGGAATGTATGGAGTTTGAACACCCCAAGCCTACTGTGTTAACCCTTTCCTGCCCAGTGAATTTCCTAAGAGCAGCTTCAGTAGGTAGTGGAATCAGGCAGTTTGGAATGGGTTGAATAGTGAATGAGAGGTGAAGAGTGAGTGTAGCCAGTTCTTTTGGGGGGACCTCTTTTGTGGTATGTTGCTGGAGGAGAACCTGGAGTTAAGGAAAATTCTTTTTTAAAGATGGGAGATATAGAGCATGTTTATGTGTTGATAGAATGATTCAGTAAAGAGGGAAAATCTGATGGTGCAGTGGAAAGAAAGGAGAGATGCAAGGTTGAAGTTCTTGAGAAAGTGAAAGAAGGGATCCAGTGCACAAGGAGAGGGAGTGGCCTGAGGTAGGAGCAGGAGCAGAAGCAGGTGAGGTGGTAGGTTTGATGGGGAGGGATCAGAAGTTCTGTCTGATGAATGCTTCTCCTTTTTCAATGATACAGAAGAAAACATGGTCAACATTTGAAAATGAGGAGGGGGTAAGGGTGTAGAAGGTTTAAGAAGAGAGGTGTGAGGTATTCATCTTAAAAGTGAACTTAAAAGGAAAATGGAGGATTATTAGACTGCATGAGGAAAAACTTAAAATGCAAAACAATAGGTCAGGTTGTATGAGTTTCATCAGCAACTTTCAGCTGTTCTCTTATGATTTGGGCATGGTTTATTTGGTTCCGCTAGAAATGGTTTTTTTCCAGGCGAATATGGTAGGGGAGAGAGGGAAGGGCAAAAGAGCCAAAGATATTTGGGAAGGGATGATTATAATGGTAGATCTTGGAATTTAAAGAAGGTAAGGGAGACAGGAGGAGGCGGGGATCGTTAGTTTGGAGGTCTGGATGAAGATTGGGATGTCTAGATTGTTGCAGGGGGGATGCGAGAGCAAGTGAACTGGGAGGATAGGAGGTAGTGGTTTGTGTGGGTGCTTGAAAACATTTTTGAAAATGGTGTAATCAAAATGACTGGGTCTAGAGTGAGACTATGAGAACGAATGACATAGGGTGGATTCCTGTTAGAGCATCCATGTGAATGCTGAGGTCTCCAGAAATGATGATAGGAATGAAGTGGAGAGAGACTGGTGCTGAGATTTCTGTGATTGCAGGCAGATTCTGGGAGGCTAGTACTTGAAAAAGTTTGGAGAAATTTAGCAGGATGGCAGGAGTTCTTCAAGGAGGAGGGCAAAAGAACATTTGTTGACAGTAGAAGCTATCTTCTGACACTGATGTATGAATGAAAAAAAAATAGCTTCCACTTTTTTTTTTTTTCAATAGGCCCCATGCCCTAATGGGGCTTGAACTCCTGACCCTGAGATCAAGATCACATGCTTTACCAACTGAGCCAGCCAGGTGTCCCAAAATAGCCCTTGAGAGGGCGACAATGCCATCAGCAGTAGGTCTGATTTGGTCAAGGAAAATGTCACAAAAGAGGTTGAGAAGATAAGGGATTTGCCAATTACAATTCTGGAGTCCCAGATGGCACAGGAGAAGAACATGGGGGGGCTAGAGAAAGCTGGGAATTGGGTTAGAGGTAGAACAAAATGGTGGTGATATTCTGGAAGATAACAGACAATTAAGGGAGCCTTAGGTTGGTGACAGGCTAAGTATGGAGAGGGCAGCAGTAAGCCCAGGTGAATACTCTAATTAATAAGGGGAAGTGATGGATGGGGAGGAGGTCCTTTGATGATGGCAAGGAATATGTCAAGGACCCGGGCATATAGGGACTGAAGTTTGATGGGATTAGTCCTACTAGTCTCTTAGAAGATGGCATGTCAAGCTGTGATCCTAATCCTCTGCTGTTTTGTAGCCTTTGAGCAACTACTCCTTTCTGCAACTCTTGTACCTTTGGTGTTTTGGCTGGGAAATAAAGGCCAGATAAAGAGCCATTTAATATTTTATTTTATTTTTCATCATTGGCAATACTTTGTAGAACCAATATAATCTGAATTTCAGTCACATCCATTTGGCTTCTACATTGAGTCATAGTTTAAAACTAAAGTTTCAGCTTAGATATTCTAAAAGTGGAAAGGGTGGTTATTAGACTATTAATCTCTTTACAGTACAAGTGTCTATTAGTTGTAACAATAGGCGCCAGTCAAAGCACCTTCCTTGTGTCAGTAATGAATTTTGAATTATTGTAGATTAAGAAAAGAAAGAGATGAAGAACGTATTAAAAAATACGTACAAGAAGAGGCTGTCAGATTCCTTTGGAACCAGGTAAACCCATTCTTGCTGATTTACCTAATGTGTGAACCAAGAAAAATTCTAGATTTATTGAGATAATCATAGAGTAGTCAGGCATATTAAGCACATTTTCTCAAGGTTAAGGATGGTCTATGTTCTTTGCCACTAACTCTGAATTAGGACAGTGAACTTTGTTACATTTTATTTAATCTAAAGAAAAATATTTTCATAATTTTGACCAGAAGGATAAAGAACCATAAAGATGAATGAAAGTGACTAAACTGAGGGATGTTGTCATAACTTTCCAGTAGGTAGAAAATATTCAATTAAAAGTTTTCTGTAGCCATCTATCTTGTTTTACCTTTTGGGAATATTTGAATGAAAGGTGACTAAGATAATGCATGATGGCTATGATATGCATGTCCTAAAAAGTGCACATGACTTCTTGAGAGAGAGAGTTTAGATCCTGTAATAGCATACTTCAGGGACAGTTCAGATAATCAGTTTTACTGTTATTTTATCTCATCAGGTATTTCATGATGATAATTTCTTGGAATGTTTTTGCTATAATGGGATTTTACCTACAAAATTAAGAAATAGTTATTGATTTCTAAGGTTTTATAATTACTAATACTAGGGAAGTGGTTAAATAAATTATAGAATAACAATACCATGGAACATTATGGAAGAGTTAAAACGAATAAGGTAACAGTATAGACTGATGTGGAAAGTTCTCCAGAATAACATTGTTCAGTGAAAAACATTAAGTTTCAGAACTTAAGGTTCTGCTTGGTTTTAAAAACTCCATATATATTTGAAAACAGAGTAAAAGGTCTGGAAGGACACTGTCCAACTGCTATCAGTGATTACCTGGGAGGGTGGTCAAAGAGAAACTAAAAAATTCTATATATTGCTTTCTTCTTGCAGATTTAATTGTTTAATTTTGAGATTTTGATTGTATGTTAAAAATGTAAAGGTCATATTATCAAGAACTCAGGGTATTTTTGGATATTTTAGAGTTATATATGCTGTATTGTTAGGTAACATTTAAAAACTCTATCCTAAATGGATATCTGCGGTGAGATTTTTAGAGAATCTACTTATAATGGGCTCTAACCTGTCTTACTCAATAGATTTGTTTCTGTTGAGTACATTATTGACCCTGTAGTCACGGGCTGTTGTGCTTCTGATAGTTTTTCCAGTAGCAGCAAGAAGAGTTGCTTTGGCCCATCCTGACTCTCCTGGTGAGGACCTTTTGTTACCAAGGACATTACCACTTGTGCCAGCCTGGTTTAGGCTGGGAGTGCTATGGAAGGGGTAAGGGGAGTCAGGCTGTTTCTAACTCCAGTTCTGCCATCTGCCATTTACCAACTTCATGAGTATTGGGGAAAAAGCTCAAAGAACATTGTAAAGCAGGCAAGATTTTTATTTTATAATAAAACTATACCCTTTGGTTTACAGGTAAGGTCTCTGCAATCTTGGCAACAGATGGTGGATCAGCATCTAAGTTCCTGGCATACTGATGTTCCTCCTATATCAAGTACTCTAGTACCCTCTAAACCTCCATTATTCACCCAAAGTCAGGAGTCCTCTTCTGATCAAAATTCTGATTGGCTCATTGCTCCTGATGAGGCTCCTCAAGAGAAATCCTTACCAGAATTTCCAGACTCAGGTTTTCATTCTTCCCTAACAGACCACGTTCACTGTTTGCAGCATTCTTTGGATTTTGAAAAAAGTTCCACAGAAGGCAGTGAAAGTTCCATAATGGGGAATTCCATTGACACAGTCAGATATGGCAAAGAGTCAGATGTAGGGGATGTCAGCGATGAGCACGGTGAATGGAATAAGGAAAGCTTAAACAATGAGCAGGATAATAGTCTGCTTGAGCAGTATTTAACTTCAGTGCAACAGCTAGAAGATGCTGATGAGAGGACAAATTTTGATGAAGGGACAGGAGATAGTAAGCTTCACATAGCTCCTTCCCCTGAAAAGTTAGATGCCTTGTCTGATGGGGCTTCTGTAGATGATACTCACGGCATATCTCCTACTTTGCAAGATGAAATCAGCCAGGCACCAGAAAATTGTAAATTAAATGCTGATGTTCAAGGGCAACAGTCAGACTGCGATTCTACATTTCAGGTATTGCATGTTGGTATTACTGTGTAGCATGTCTGGTTGCTTGGGAAGCAGAAATCTACTTAACAATTTCAGTTGCCCTTTTTTTTTTTTTTGGTGAAGGGGAATATCACCCCCATTTTTGTTACTATTTATATAGACTTTGTATTCTTGTCTCTTGTTTTCAATATTTTAGAGACTGGGCTGAATCTTCATTTTGATTTTATTAGCTATTCGCTGTAATCTATCAAACAATATTTATATTGAAAGCTATATGCACTTTATTTCCTAACAACTGAATTGCATCAACAGTGTTGTTTTTTAATGTACTCATTTCCTTTCAAAAATAAACTAGAATATCTTTCAAGAAAATAGAGGAGTTTACCTTAAACATATAAATAAGAGAAGTTAGACTTTTCTGTATATCAGGAAATTAATTATGAAGTAAGGAATGTGACTTGTTAAAGTGAGTGTAAATGACAAATATGAAAGACTGTGAACTATAGAAATTTTCCAGCCTCCTTGGAATAAGAACATATATTTTTAAGCCTTTACCACCCCCTTACGAGTTAAGAAAAGCCTTCTTATAAGCAAATAGGGAGAAAGGGTAAGATTATAGGATTTTTCAGAGGAAATGAATATAATTGTCTCATGGAAAACTTTAGTTAATGTCATGTGTCAGTTTTAACATATGAAGCAGTGTTCATCTGGAATTAAAATCAAGCTTACTTAAAGAGGCATGACTAGAATATTTTTCTTAGATGTGAAGAAAGCAGATGCTAGGCTCCATTTGCTTGGAATAATGTCACAGCAGACATTATCTTTTCATTCAGTGCTTTTTTACCCTATAGATAAGCATTTATGTGCCAACTTCCTTGCCAGAAATTAACATATGTTCTTCTTCTCTGACCCTGCATTATATTTGCTTATGTATTTCAGCAGAAGGTCCATGGCCATTTACTTCATTTTTTGACCTCTGTTTCACAGTGAAGAACATTTAAAATAATATTAGTGGTAGAATATGACTTTTTAAAAGGACTATTTTCTGTCCAGCTCTCTGAAAAAGTGCCACATTTGGAAGACAATTTAATGGTGGTTAAGAAAAAATAAACCTCACTTATTTCTTATTAAGAAGAATACATATCTGTAACTTCAGGAAGAAATGATAATATTGTGTTGAAGGTTATAGATGGATGCATTTGCAAATCAAGGAAGCTTGATAAATTAATCTTTGAGAATGTTGTAGTATCCTTGAACAACATATATCTGATTTCCCCTGATCTTTGGACATACAACTATTTAAAACTGTGGCAATACTTAAGTGTTCTAAATTTAGGTGCTAAATATCTGTTCATTTTTCTGTTACAGTCACTAGATCCCTTTCTTCGAAGTTATATAAAATCCTTCAAGAATAAAGTCAGGGATCACATGTTATAACTTTGTTGATAGCTAGAAACATTTCTCCAGTATGGGTAAGATGTATTTTTCTCAGTTTATAAATATGTAGCCCTCAGGTTGAGAAGACTTGGATTTCATTCTCAGAAATCCAGAGTCTCTTGAAAAGGAAATATTTTCTGTCTCTTATAAATGAAACAGCCGTCTTACATTCAAAATTTTCCCTAGTGAAGCATGTGTAATGTTGAATGCACATTAAATAAAAATAGAATTTTTTACTTTTTGAATAGTGCTAATTATCTTTTATGAATGATTTTGAATTCCTTCTTAAATATACCCTATTTTTCTATTTTACAGTTAAGTGCCTCATTTGCTGCCCATAGTTAGAGAAAAACCAACTTGCACTGCACTGATACCAAAGTGCTGCTTTATGGTACATTAATTTCTCATAAAAGTTCCTAAAATGTCATGTTTCAGTATTGCCTAAGTAGGTTTCTGCTGATACCTTCTCCCTCTTTTTCTAAGAAATGGCACAACACAGCTAAATTCATTTGAACATTAGCATTTGTCAGCAAGATTTCCTTTTTTACCTTTGTTTTTCTAGCCCATAAATAGTATTAGTGTACTTTTATTTTAAAATTGGCAGGTTATGCTAATGGTTAATATTCTGCTCTTCATTTGATTTACCTTTACTAGTGTTTTGAAGTGCAAGAATATTAAGTAGCTCCCTACCTTAAACTGTACAGATTATTTTGAATGTAGATAGAATGAAAATAATGTAAATTAGAATGCAGGAAAATTGTGGCATAGACTTAATATATTTTAATAGGTTTACAGTGTAATTTAAAATAACTTACGTAATTGTTATGTCATGGGCTATTCATTGATCTGGCTAAAGAGAGAATGGGTCTAGTAAGGTTTAGGAAGTTGAGCTTTAACATGATCTTTGTGTTTTTTCTTAGAGGATTAGTTTAGCTGTGCTATTTTAGTTCATATCAGTTTTCTTGATATATAGAAAATTCAATATATCAATGAGATATTCCTCCAGAAGCACAGAATCCTACCATGTGAAAATTGGAAGGAATCTTAGCAATTATCTACTCTAATCTCTTTGCTTTAAAGATGAAACTAAGGTACAGAGAATTAAGTGACTTGCCTGATATTATAGCTAGTTAGTAGTAATAAACTGTGAAAACTTAAAAGTTATTGTATTCCAAAATTTATTATTATACACTATTAATTTTACATTTAGTGAGTCAGTAGGAAAATCTTTGCATATTGTTCATTTTCTTTGAAAGAGGAAAAAAGACTTCTGACAGAGCTAGAACTCTACCACTTGCAGCAGAATTGCTTGTAGAAAATGACTAAGTCATTCAGAACTCTGAGTAAATTTTCTTCAAGAAATGTGATGTCATTAAAATGGTTTTAAAAGAGAACTCATAGAAATTAAAAATTTAAAAGAATGATTGCATCTTGGAATCATTTATTTAATGACAAGAAGTATAACAGGTTGCTGAGATAACTGAAATTTTCTAGTGAAATCCTGAGTTTGTTTATATATCTTCTTCAGTTTTACAGAACAACAGATGTCAGAGTTTTAACTCTCTTGATGTGCAGAAATGTCCAATCATGACAGTTGATCTAAACACAATATAGTTTGGTTCCATAAGCTTAATTATTAAAGGCCTCATAATATGCATGTTTTAGGAAAATATTTAGCCACACACTGGTTTGCGCATATGCAAATAACTTTATTCTTGAATAATGTGGGTGCCATTCTTTTTTTTTTTTTTAAGATTTTATTTATTTATTTGACAGAAACAGACAGTGAGAGAGGGACACAAGCAGGGGGAGTGGGAGAGGGAGAAGCAGGCTTCCCGCGGAGCAGAGAGCCCGATGTGGGGCTTGATCCCACATGACCTGAGCCGAAGGTAGACGCTTAACAACTGAGCCACCCAGGTGCCCTGTGGGTGCCATTCTTGAGTGTGGACTTTTATTTTTGTTTTGGGTTACTTTAAATATGTAAACACTGTAATAGTATTTTCCTGTTATCTACTTAATGCAAGTCTAGTTCCACTCTTTGTAAGTATTTTCAGATACAATATGAGCTTAAGATATTATACTATCTCCTTGGTACTTTCTTTGGTGCAGATTCTTAGAATTGGATTTATAACAATAATATAAAATATAGAACCTTTTTTTTTTTTCCGGAGTAAAAGGAATATATAGCATGAGTCTGATCAGTTTCCCATTTATAAAAGAAAAAGAGACTTCATTTTTAATGTATATTTTTATTTTGCCATGTATCTTATTAATGATATTATATTATAATGTTTTAACTTTTAAATATATGATCCATTTATTCATAAAGTAAAACAGAAAGGGTCTGTAAGGAACTAAATATTTTTAGTGATATTGCTTACACTGATCAAACCTATTGTGCCATATTAAAATTAAAAGTCAAGTAAACAAAAAATTCACACCTTAGAGTGAAACAGATAATTGTCTTTTTAAAATGAGGTGCTTTTTATGTGTGAATGAGTAGAAATCATACTAAATTTTAATTCCTAAATTGATTTTAGTAGATAGCAGGAATCTCTTTGTAGTGGCTTTGTTCATTTTCTAATTAAATTTCTTTGAACATTTTGTAATAATTTTAATGTTAAGAATAAGAGTTTAAAAGTAAGTTGATTTTTGGACTATTTTTAGATTTCTCTTTAATTCTGTTTCAGAAATAGATGATTTAAAGTGGTTATGGTTTGTTTTATGAAGGCTTAATATTTTGTATTATATTTTATTTGTATTTGAGTCTCTAATTCTAAATAAAAAGTTTGTACATTTGTTTGAGTGAGTCATCTGTTTATTATAGTGATTAGTAGTAATGGTTGTTACTCATTGTGTTTGCAATTAATGGGTAACTAAAATTCAGAACAAGTTGCAGATAGAATTCTAAGGAAGTTCCAGAGTTTTGTTATATAAATGAGTTTACAATAAAATAGTCTTAGCCTTATGATAATGGATATGAAATGAAAGAAATGCTAATTTAGTAGTTTTATTTGGTATAGATTTTATTACTTCCAGGTAATGGGTAGAGAAGAGCAGATATCCCTCACAGAGCACAGATGACACTGTCAGGTACTGTTGAAACTGGGTGCTGAAAGTGTTAGGGAGTGAATGAGTAAGTAGAGCACAAGCCCTCTCATTTGACACAGTTGGGACCTATAGTTGGTTGGTGTTATGGACCAAATTGTATCCCCCACTAAAATTTATATGTTGAAGCCCTCACACTGTGACTGTGTTTGGAGATAAGAACTTCAAGGAGTTAATTAGGGTTAAGAAAGGTCATAAGGAAGGGGTCTTAATCCAATAGGACTGGTATACTGTAAGAAGAGGAAGAGACACAAGATATTCTCTGGTGCATGCCCAGAGGAAAGGCCACTTGAGGACACAATAAGAAGGCAGCCAGCTGCAAGCCAGGAAGAGAGAGCTCAACAGAAACCAACCCTGCTGAGACCTAGATCTTGGACTTCCAGCCTCCAGAGATATGAGAAAATAAATTTCTATTGTTTAAGCCACTCAAACAGTGGTATTTTAAAAGTAGTATTTATAAAAGACTAGTACAGTTGGTTAATCAAAATACTGGTTACGGCAGGGAATCATAAAAATTATACCTTAAAAAATCTTTATTGAGATACAAATGGCGTACAGTGAACTGCATGTATTTGAAGTGGACAATTTGAGGGTTGTCTGGCTGACAGTATATCATGCAACTCTTGATCTCAGGGTTGTGAGTTCAAGCCCCACATTTGGGCATGAAGCTTACTTAAAAAAAATCAAGTGGACAATTTGATAAACTTTGACACATATACATGCCCATAAAACCATCACAACAACCAAGATAATGAACATATTCACAACCCTCGAAAGATTCTTCATTTCCTTCATAACCCTGCCTATTTTGTGTGGTTTCTTTTACTCAGCATAATTATTTGGGATTCATCTGATATTTCTTTCCTTTTTATTGCTGAGTAGTATTCCATTATATATATTTGCTGCCATTTTTTTCAATTTTATTTAAAAATTTTTCCAGCTCTATTGAGAAGTGTTGACATATTGTGTAAGTCATGATGCTTTGATATATGTATATATTATATAATGTTTACCACAATAAGGTTAGTTAACATACCCATCACCTCACCTAGCTTTACAATTGTATGTGTTGAGAACTTTTTAAGATCTACTCTCTTAACAACTTTCAAGAAGTTTTATGGTATCAGGTCTTATGTCTAAGTCTAATCCATTTCAAGTTAATTTTTGTGAGTGGTGTAATTTGGAAATCCATTTTCATTCTTCGGCATATGAATATTCAGTTTTCTCAGTACCATTTATTGAAGAGATCATCCTTTCCCTATTGGGTATTATTTGCTCTCATCAAATATTAGCTGACCATATATGCATGGGTTTATTTCTGAACTCTTGATTCTGTTCTATTGGTCTGTTTTTATGCCAGTATCATGCTGTTTTAGTTACTGTAGCTTTATAATATAGTTTGAAATCAGGAAATGTGATGCCTCCCACTTTGTTGTTATTTTTCAGCTTTGGTTATTTGGGTCTATTGTGGTTCTGTATGAATCTTAGGAATGTTTTATCTATTTCTGTAAAAAAAAAAATGCCATTGGAATCTTGATAGGGATTGCATTGAATCTATAGATGGCTCCAGGTAGTACAGACATTATAATGATATTAATTCTTCCAATCTATGAACACAAGATTCCTTTCCATTTATTCATGTCTTCCTCAATTTCTTTCATCAATGACTTTTAGTTTTCAGTGTAAAGATCTTTTACCTCCTTGGTTAAATTATTCTTAAGTATTTTATTGTTTTTGATGTTATTGTGAATGGGATAGTTCTTAGTTTTAGAAAAGTAACTTATTTTTGTATGCTGATTTTGTATCCTGCAGCATGAATGAATTTAGTGATT